GTTGTGTCGATAGAGTGGATAGCCAGCGGCAGCGACGATCACGCCCAATACCATGCATCCAAGCGCGATGAGATAGCCAACTTCGAAGGAGACGTTTTCTTGCGTGTAGACGAGTGCCGTGATCGCAATGAGCGCTCCGACGCAGAAATGGATGAAGTAAGTGTTGAAGTACGTCCCCAGCTCTTTCTTCTCCACGGGCGAGTTCTCGTCGAAGTGGACAGCTCCCATGGTCGCGATGTTGGCTTTGACACCTCCGGCTCCAAGTGCTAGAAGGTAGAGTCCTCCAAAGAACACTGCCTTTTGGGAAGAGGTTGCGCTCTTGCAGGAAGCATCTAGAAGCTGGCACTCGGGTGGAGTGAGAGATTTTATAGATGCTGCGAGCGCCACGAGAAGAATCCCCTGCGCAGAAGATCATCAATATATTTTTGTTTTTGTTTTGGAAATCCGAGAAATGGAGATAAGAAAGAGAGAGATCTTTACCAGGATTTCCAGGACGCCAGAGACGACGATCGTCTTGAACCGACTCCACCAGAGATCTGCCACAAGCCCTCCAAGGAGCGTGAGGAGAAACATCGTTCCCATGAAGTTGGTCACAATGTTGGCAGCAGTGGCGAGGCTGAAATGCTCCGTGTTGAATGCAAACGTGAAGAGATTGATCCCAATTGAGAAAGAAGCTGCCTGTTCGAGCGTCACCACCGCTGCCAAAGAAGAAATCAAATCACAAATCAAGATGATGTATCCAAACCATGAGAAGAAGAATGTAACAATGATCAAGACCATGGAGAGTCAAAATTCAAGAGGCTAGAGAAAAGGAAAAGACCCAAAATCTATCCAAGCATCAATTTGGTACCAAAGATGAAGGGTGCCACTCTCCAAGCTCGAGAAGTGAACGCCATGGAGTTCGATCAATCGCTATCCCCGCGCTCGCTCGCTGAGGATTCACACGCGAACAGAGTAAAAATCTCCCCCAAAGCCACTTTGTTTGTTTCGCTTACTTAAAAGAGAGACGAGGCCATAAAAGACGACGTCATTTGATTTCTAGGGAGCTGACTCTGAGGGTTTTGTCACGTCCGAGAAGAGTATCGTGGGATTAAAGGTTCGCTTCTCGCTTTCAATAAAACTCGAGAGAAAAGTTTATGGAATCTCGGGTTTTGGTTTTCTCCTTGCTCCTTTGTTTGCTGTCTTTTATCTTGTATTCGAGCCAGAATTTTGACGGGTACGGTGGGGGTGGAAAGAATCCATCCAAATTTGTGTTCTTTCCCCAATCTTGGCTTGACTTTTATGCTTCCATCGAACACATGGCAAGAAGTCACATTGACTCCCGCGGCAGAATCAAAGTATATCTGCACATTTGAATATTAAGTGTCTCCTCTCAAGGCCCAATCAAGAGAATGATGGTGTAATTGTGTTCTTGCGGCCAGCTGGCCTGGCGTTGATCTTCCGCAAGATTGTGGAAGTCTCCTTGCGACTTATTCAGCATTTGGAGATTCATTTGCAGATGTCACTCTGGGATCACTCTGAAAGTTCAAGGCCATGGAGTAGTGTTTTAGGACAAATTCTCATGTATAGCATCATCCCATTGTGTGGGGTTGTCCAGAAGCAGATACTAAAACTTTTAAGTGAATAATCTGAACCTGTTATTTATGTAAAAGGGCCTGATAAACTTTATAAAAAAATAAAATAAATCTCTATAAGAAAACAAAAAGAAAGAACAGTGAGTGGAAAAAAAATCCATCAATTTTGGAAGAAAGGTCCCCACGCTCCAAGCCATGGATCAATCAATCGTTCTAGTGGATTGCTAGCACCCCTTTCCACTAGCACACACACAATTTGAAATTATGTTATATACCAAAGAAATTACATTTTTGATATGTGAATATGCTTAGATATTCTGAGATATTTTACCATTTAACGGTTAGATTAATTTGTATTTAAAATTTATAATAATCTTGCATTATAAATTATAAATATGTTTGTAATTATAAAGCTCCACTTGATCAATTAAGTTAATAAATAAAAATAATTACGTTACTACATAAATAAGTAATGCGCAACAGATTTGTATAAGTTTCAACAATAAAGGGTATATTATAACAAATAATATTAATATCGAGCTATGGGATGGGAGGGCATGGGTGCGAGGCGCTCTATGTTCCTCGTCTACTCCCTCGCCGCGATCCTCAAGGAGAAGACCAGGATTTTGCCGCTCCCAAAAGAGATTTTGCGGCTCCTCGCAGTGACGGCATTTGGATTGGAGTTCTTCCTCTTCTATCTCAAGGAAGACGATGGCAGCGGCGTCCAGGGGCAGTACCATCGGCTCCTCCTCGTCCCGATCGGCGTGTGTTTACTGTCGACGCTTCTCAGGATTTGCTACACCCGCAGTGAGCTGCTGCGTTTTATTCAGAGCTTGGGATTGATCCTCCAGGGAGCTTGGTTCTTCCAGATGGCCAGCTCGATCTTCTCGTCCAGGGGGATGTCTGCTGGCTGGATCGAAACGGCGAGGGCGACTACGCAGTTCACTGCAAAGGGATGATGGCATTGCACACAGGCAAGGCGATCATGACGCTCCAGTTTAACTTGCATCTGGCCATGATCCTCGCGGTGGTGCTGCCAACTTATGCGTTCTTCCACAAAGCTGGCGGCGGCGACTCTTCGCAAATCTCGAGGTACCAGCAGCTGGGAGGTAGCGATCAACCAGTTGCGGGATCGTTCCAGTTGAGTGAAACGGTTCCCGGCTCGCAAATCCGGACGCAATGGCCAACTTATGTGCTGGAAGAGGAAGACGAAGCATAGGATCACAGCAAAGGTGTTCAACCATTTACTTTTCTTGTGAAGAAGATCTATCTACATGGTCCTTGAAGGGTCTTTCTAGAGCATGAAACACAAATGGATTCAGAGCTGAGTTTCAAAAAATGATTTGTCAAATTGTAGCTAATACCACCAACCTCGCCAATCTTGGGAAGTTCAAACTGGAAGAGGAGGCAAGCAGGATCGAACTAGTGACCTATCGAACTGCAGCCGATTGCTCTACCGCTGAGCCATACCTCCATTTTCATTAGTAATGTTAAGAATGATATTCAGCGAGAAACTTGATTCTTTTTCTAAACAAGGCAAGCCATGGTTTCCGCCGTGGAACTGGCACAATCAAACAGACAACAGGTTGTAGAAACCGAGCATCTTCTAAAGGCTTTGCTGGAGCAAAAAAATGGTCTTGCACGGAGGAGGCCGGGATTGATAACTCAGCTCTTTTGCAAGCAACTGAGCGATACATCGAGCGCCAGCCTAAGGCGAAAAGTGTTTTTTTATATTCTTATTGTGCGCGTGTTCTTCTAGGTGACGGGAAACATATCTGGCGCTATGCTTGGCCAGAGCCTCGACAGTTTGCTCGATCGAGCCAAGGGTCACATGAAGGACTTTGGAGATAATTATACGTCAATCGAGCATTTAGTCCTTGCACTCGCAGAAGACATTCGTATCGGGAAGGAGTTGTTTGGGCAGTTCGATCTCAATGCCAAGGCTACTAAAGATGCGATCACTGCCATTCGAGGGACACAGAAGGTTACTGATCAAGGTTCGCTGTTTTGTTTGTCAAAATTCTAAACAGTCTCGTTGTTTGTTTTCTCGATCCAGCCCCTGAAAACAAGTATGAAGCACTCGAGAAATTTGGAGTGGATTTGACGGAGATGGCCCGCCAAGGAAAACTTGATCCGGTCATCGGTCATGATGACGAAATTCGACGGTGCATTCAAATCTTGTGTGCCGGCGAACCAAGAACAATCCTGTCGTGATTGGAGAGCCTGGTGTGGGCAAGACTGCTATAGCCGAAGGGTATGGAAATCACTGGCTTCTGCTGACTTGGGTATGTTTTACGCGAGTGCTATTGCAACACCTTACCATTAAAAATGCAGCTGATATCATTGGACTTGGGAGCCTTGATCGCAGGAGCGAAGTTTCAAGGAGAATTTGAAGATCGATTAAAAGCTGTTCTAAAAGAAGTAAAGGAGTCAGAGGGGTACATTGATGAAATCCACATGGTCGTCGGGCAGGTACTTTGTGTGTGGGATTTTGCATTTTCGACTGCAAGCACGGTACTTGTTTTTACAGGTGCCACGTCGGGAGCGATGGATGTTGGAAACTTGCTGAAGCCAATGCTTGGCCATGGTGAATTGAGGTGCATTGGTGCCACGACAATAAAGGAATATCGCAAGTACCTTGAGAAGGATGCAGCTCTGGAAAGTGCTAAGATAGTCAGCAAGTGGACAAAGATTCCCGTCTCAAGGCTGCTCCAGTCCGAGATGGAGAAGCTGCTCCACCTCGACGAACACTTACACAAGCGCTTGATCGGCCAAGACCCCGCAGTGCAAGCCGTGGCCGATGCTATACGCCGTTCCAGAGCTGGACTCGCGGATCCAAACCGTCCTATCGCCAGCTTCATGTTCATGGGGCCGACCGGAGTCGGGAAAACGGAGCTGGCCAAGGCTCTAGCCGAATACCTGTTCGACACGGACAAAGCGCTGCTGAGATTCGACATGAGCGAGTACATGGAGAAGCACGCCGTGTCCCGGCTCACTGGCGCTCCTCCAGGATACGTGGGATACGAAGAAGGCGGGCAGCTGACCGAGAGCGTCCGCCGGCGGCCTTACTCGGTGGTTCTCTTCGACGAGATAGAAAAGGCTCACACGGACGTCTTCAACATCTTCCTCCAGATACTCGACGATGGCCGCGTGACGGACTCGCAGGGCCGGACGGTGAACTTCACCAACACCGTGGTGATCATGACGTCCAACCTCGGCTCGCAGCACATCCTGGACGCTCTCAAATCATCGGGCGACAAGAATGCGTCATATCAGTCGATGAAGGAGACAGTGGCTCGCTCCACCCTCCGGCCAGAGTTCATGAACAGGGTGGACGAGTTCATCGTGTTCCAGCCCCTGAACGTGGATCAGATCCAAGAAATCGTCAAGCTCCAGGTAAGTTGTGTTTATACGATGAGGCAGTTTATGATCTTTGGCTTTTTTTCTCTAGCTGCAAAACGTGGAGAAGAGACTTCAACACCGCAAGATCTCTTTGAAGATCACAGGTGATGCGGTGCAGGTGTTTGCCAAGCTTGGATATGATCCTAACTATGGCGCCAGGCCAGTGAAGCGAGTGATCCAGCAGTACGTGACCAACGAGCTGGCTAAAGGGACTTTGAAGGGCGAGTTCAAGGAGGAGGACACGGTGCTTATCATGACAGAGGACGGGAAGCTGGCCATGAGAAAATGGTCCCCTTCTTTACATCAGCTGGTTCTCCTGTATTTTTCTTGTGGAGTTCTTGAGTTATACCTTTTACCTTTTACAAGTCAAAATAAATGTCTTGTAAATTGCGAAGAGTTATTAGCATACTTTGATTGGTGAATTTTATATAAGAATCTGTATGAACATTATGGACATTTCTTCAGTAGCTGGTACTTGAAATATTGTCTAGGCCATCAAGGGCCTCTTGCTCACAGTACCAATATCCGTAACTTTTGATGGTCCATCCTCTAACTTAACATCACGATCCAATGCCAAATCAGCATCACCGTGATTTCTATACCTGTACCACCTCGCACAGGCCACATACACCACGAAGTTGACGGCGCTGATGCTTGCAAGCAGCAGGTAGAAGTTGCTGATGTTACCCCTGTTGATGTTGCTTGGCAGCCACCCGAGCCCGCCACCTTTTGTAGTAACCCTCTTCACAATATCCACAATGGTGGAGCTCAAGAAGTAGCCCAGGGAGAGGGAGACAAAGGTCAGCGCCGTGGACATGCTGCGAACTCTCTCGGGGGCCTCGCGGTAGAAAAACTCCATGAGACCCACGAATGTGAACATGTCCGCCAGCCCAATGATGAAGTACTGGATCATGATCCAGTAGATCTTGAGCGGCACCCTCGCGGTGGGCGAATCGAGGAGCCCAAACTCCCGAGCGACGCGGATGCGCTTCTTCTCCACCAGCGCCGCCACCACCATACTCGCGATCGCCAGAAGCAAGCCCACGGAGATCCTTTGCAAGTACGTGATCCCGCTCTCGTGACCCGTGACTCGCCGCGCGACTGGCACGAAGATCCGGTCGTAGATTGGGAGAGCTATGATCATGAATACGACCGGGAGCGCTGCCACCGACGCCGGAGGTATCTCGAAGCTCTTGGTGATCCTTCGATCCATCGTCCGGCCTTGCTGGAGTGTTACTGTCTGGACTTGAGCGATGACGCAGTTCAAAACGATGGTGCTCGTGAAGATCGGGAGGATTCGCAGGATGAGCTTCACCTCCTCGACCTGTGTCACCGTGCACAGCTTCCAAGGGCTGGTTTGTGCGGTCGGGGGAGAGTTATAGTCCACGATGGCTGCTCGATCCAAGAAGCTGCCATGGTTACAAAGACGATTGATCACTATATCGAGGTGAATCTCAAAATCTTACGTGAACTGGTCCGTGTGCTCGATCCTGTAGCCAGTCTTTGAGTCATCGAGAGGACCCAGATGGAGAACTTCCGGGGACGAAACTGGAAGCTTGCGGTTCCTAAACGCGGCCACAACAACTTGGGCGAAGCTTGTGACTGGACTTTGGGGTGAGTTGTGTTGGTAGAGTGGATAGCCAGCGGCAGCGACGATCACGCCCAATACCATGCATCCAAGCGCGATGAGATAGCCAACTTCGAAGGAGACGTTTTCTTGCGTGTAGACGAGTGCCGTGATCGCGATGAGCGCTCCGATGCAGAAAAGGATGAAGTACGTGTTGAAGTACGTCCCCAGTTCTTTCTTCTCCACGGGCGAGTTCTCGTCGAAGTGGACAGCTCCCATGGTCGCGATGTTGGCTTTGACACCTCCGGCTCCAAGAGCTAGAAGGTAGAGTCCTCCGAAGAACACAGCCTTTTGGGAAGAGGTTGCGCTCTTGCAGGAAGCATCTAGAAGCTGGCATTCGGGTGGAGTGAGAGATTTTATAGATGCTGCGAGCGCCACGAGAAGAATCCCCTGCGCAGAAAATCGCATCGTCATCAAGTAGGTACTATGTATTTTTGTTTTTGTTTTGGAAATCCGAGAAATGGAGATAAGAGAGAGATCTTTACCAGGATTTCCAGGACGCCAGAGACGACGATCGTCTTGAACCGACTCCACCAGAGATCTGCGACAAGCCCTCCAAGGAGCGTGAGGAGAAACATCGTTCCCATGAAGTTGGTCACAATGTTGGCAGCAGTGGCGAGGCTGAAATGCTCAGTGTTGAATGCAAACGTGAAGAGATTGATCCCAATTGACAAAGAAGCTGCCTGTTCGAGCGTCACCACCGCTGCAAAAGAAGAAATCAAATCACAAATCAAGACGATGTATCAAAACCATGAGAAGAAGAATGTAACAATGATCAAGACCGTGGAGAGTCCACACTCAAGAGGCTAGAGGAAAGGAAAAGACCCAAAATCTATCCAAGCATCAATTTGGTACCAAAGATGAAGGGTGCCACTCTCCAAGCTCGAGCAGTGAACGCCATGGAGTGTGATCAATCGCTATCTTCGCGCT